GGCTCCGGCAAAGACCCCGCTGCTGGGCTCCCCTCTTTCCGGGTCCCCGTCAAACCAGCCGAACACCCCACCCACCGACCCGCACGCCTAGGGCAGCCCTACCTTCAGCTCCTTCCGAGCCCCACCCACAAGCCACGGAGCTCCTCCTGCTTTCCTTCCCCATCTTCACCCCTCAATCCTCCCGCCAGCTCCCTGCACTAAGCCGCACCCCCTGCTGAAGGCTGTAGAGGGCTCACGCCAGCGCCGCCGAAGCTCGGTTTGAGCGCGAGATACCGCCTTGCTCCCCATCTCTCGTGGCCCTCCCGCTCGGCTCCATCTCTCCGGCTACCAACTTCCTCCTCCCCGCCGTCCTCGTTCCTTCCCTGCTTCTTCTGCACCTCGTTCCCTCGAAATCTGACTTCAAGCATTTGAAGTGTCCTCCAGCCTCTCAGCCCTGAACCATTTTTCTCTTTCCTTCCTTTGCACAGATTCAGAGCAGCATAACTTCTCCGTTCTCAGTTTCTAGTTGTGTCTCTTCCAGTTCTCTCCCTGCTCCCAAATCTGCTTTCTAAAACCTAGGAGGCAAGATTCTGAAGCCAAGCCCAGGGGTGTGCAAGCCTTTCTGAGCATGTGCAGAGTGCCCAGCCACTGAGAACTGCTTAGCCTTAGCAGGTGCAGGAGTTTATCCATTTCTGCTGGCTTGGTCCCTGGGCCCTGTATAGTTATAGCTCACAGTATTGTATTTATTTGCTTAATCTTAGATCAGGTCTTTCTGGAAATGCGGAACATTTAACACTAAAGTCAAAATCACTCCTTGGTGCTCTTAATTGGTATTTTGGAACACACTGCCACAAAGGATGAAAATAACCGAATTCCAGAATGATAGAGAGGAATAACAATGGTGTAATCATAATAAATGCAGATTTGTGAGCCGAATATCCACAGGGGACATATAGGAATGATATAATGGGGAATGGTAGGACAGAATAACCAATCAATCTTGCAGGTTAGCTTTTTTTTTAAGTGAGAGATGTACGTCTATTTTTATTTCTCTGTCATTTTGCAACAGTTAGTAGTTGTTTGCATGACAGTGCTTAAACTGCTTCACTTGCATTTCTCTCTGGGTATGCATGGACACATAACAGATATGAAGGGGATAAATATTTAATGGCCATGAATGATTGAGGAGTCCTCACTTCCATTCCAGTGCCTCTGCTCTCCACTTGAGCAATCAAGATTTAGTTGACACCTCCCCCATATAGCAACCCAGATTCTTCCTTCTTCCAAAGCATGCAACAAACTATAGCCAAGCTGGGATTGACCTCTGAGCTCTGTCCCTGGAGCTGCTGCTGGTTCTTCTGCTCCACGCACCAGGTGTTGCTTTTATCATAAAGGTTTGTGTGGTTTTCAGAGAGTGTCTTTGTGATCACATCTGCACTTGGAATATAAAGACATTCTAGGTTCCCAGTGTGGTCCCTCCTCCTGAGCAGAGCCAGTTTCTGCAAAGGCTGTCCTCACCCTCACAGGAAAAGGTGTGTGGGAAGCCCCAAACTTATGCAGAAAGCTCTCCTGTTGGCCTTGGACATTCCTTCTTATGGCAGGAAACTGAAGGAAGGGGGTTGGAGAGGCCACATGGACTTTTAATGAGTTAAATACGAGAGGAATTCATCTGAGAGTATCTCTTCCCTGGGAAGGGCGGTCTTCAGCTTCTACAACTTCCCACCACTCAAGGATCCCAACGGTGCCAGGTCAGGAGAATGAGGATGATGGTCCTTCTTGTTCTTCTCCAAGGAGAGCTTGGGGTCTGCGAGCCCAACAGCCACCGGGCTTGCTGAGGTGTCTTGCATGAGGGTGCTCAGCTTTGGTTCTGCCACCTTCAGGGTCACGCATTTGAGCACTCTGCGCACAATTGTTCCTTGACCTGTGAGGTTCTCTGGGTACTGAGTCCAGGCAGCTTCTCCAGGTCCCCAGTGGTAGATGGCATCATGCGTTCTGGAGGTACATACGCCTCCAATCACGTAAATCTTCCCTCGCAAGGAAGTGGCACCAGCAAAGGCAAGAGGCAACGGCAGGGGAGGGACGGTGACCTCTGTGCTGATGATGCCAGCTTCCCGCATGAAGAAACATTTCGAGGTGCATGGAAGAAGTTGGCTGAACCTCCGGTTTGCGTACAGTTGGGTGACCTTCCTTGAAAAGAACCCTCCGATGACACAGATCCCAGCCTCCATGGGGACAGCAGCTGCCCCGTGGAGACTAAATTCAAGCGGCACCTGGGTCCAGGTATCCAGGTGGGTGTCGTAGATAAGGATGCCCTTGTAAACCACCTCGTCGGAGTCAGCATCTCCACCTATTAAATAGAGCTTGTTTTTGTATGGCGCAGAGGCAGAAAAGCGCAGGATGATGGGCAGGCTGGCAATGGGGGACCACACCTTCTGAGCCACATCGAAGCTCTCAGCAGATGCAAGGGGCCCCGCATCGTTCCAGCCACTCAGGGCAAAAAGCTTCTGCTTGCAAGTTAAGAACATGTGGACAGACCGGGGAGTTGACATGGCAGGGAGCTGGATCCAGCGGTCAGCTAGAGAGTTGTACTCGTGTAGCGCACGGGAGTACGAGCCATCGGGGTGCTTCCCTCCTGAGATGTAGAGCCTGTGCTCCAGCACTGAGCAGCCAGGGAGGGCCACCAGTTCTAAGGGCGGCAGCTTTGTCCTTGATCCGGTGGCAGGATTCAGGCACTCCATGTAGCAGTCCATGTCTTCGCTGACAGAGAGGATGTCTCTCAGACGGGGCACTTTGATGCAGATGATCTTTTCCTGGTACATGCCCTGGCGGAGTCCCCCGCTCACCTGAAGCCTCCCTGCTCCATCCAGGTTCTGCCACTGCAACTCCAGCTGCTGATCCAGCATCTCTGCCTCTGCCTGTAGCTGGGCAACTTCCACCTGTGTCAGGAGTGGGAAGCGTATGCACCTTAGCAGCATCTTGAGCACTGGGAGGCGCGCAGTGGGCTCAGCCCGCACCCAGCGTTGCGCAGCCTGGAACACCTCCATTTCTGAGGTCACTGCCAGATGGTCTGAGGAGAGGATGCAGATCAGAGCCCCGAGGTCAAGGTGCAGGAAGTCCTTGTGTTCAAAGAGGAGGTCAAAGTGAAGGCCCAGATAGCGTAGCGCACCATGCAGCAAGATGGGGTGGTTGTGATCATGGCCCAGCGTGTAAAGGCGAACGCAGTTCTCTGGGGAAATCCTCTCCATGAGGTATCTGCCAGGGGATGGAAAGAAAGGTCACTGGGGAAGATGGTGGGTGAATATCCACAGTGAAGCCACTGAAGACAGAAGCTGGGAGAACGTCAGAGACCCAGACGGTCTGCGCTACCTGCTGATGAGGGGCAGTGCCGGGGTGAGCTGGAGCCGGCTGGCCACGATGAACAGGTCTTCGGCGCTTCCGGAACCGAAAGCCAGCTCCCCCGAGTAGAGGTAGGTTAACAGATTCTGGAGGACGGAGGGGTCCATGTCTTTCAGGAGAACTTCCCCATCCCGGGACTCCTTGAAGCCACTTGTGAACACTGCCTGGAAGTAGGGGCTGACGGAGGCCAAGAGCGCTCTGCGAGGAGGAGAACGGAGGCCGTCTGATTAGCTGCGGGCATCCCACAGGCCTGCCCCTCTCTTAGCCTCACTTCCCTGGGTCCCTGCCCAACCTGGGGACATGGAGACGCACCTGTTGCAAGGGAACCGCTTCCCTCCAGCGATCAAGGTGGCATCGCAGAGTTCTTGCATGTGATGCAGATGCTTCAGACCTGGGGGGGAAGCGGAGGGAAGTCAGAACCTCCTAGGCCGTTCTGGCAGATCAGAGCTTCGAGTGGGAGGGAGAAAAATGGCAAGAAGTTCTTTTAGCTGAGTGCCAGTTTCCTCAAACTGGCTTTTTCTCCCAAGGGCCCATGGGTGGGGAGAGGGCCCTGTGAAAAAAACGGTGCTCTGAACCTGTTGCTCTCATTCTTCCCCATTTATAAGAAATTCAGCAGGATTCCCCACTGTTAGGGCTCCTTCCTATAGGCCTGGAGGGTACTGGGGAGCTGAAGGAAAAGCCTGAAAGGCGGGGATAAAAGGAAGTGCTTCCAGTCGTTCTACCCTGTCCAGAGGTTTCTGTTCTGTTCAGCCCGATTCCCTTCTGCCCCTGCTGTTGGGAAGCTTGAGGTTGGCCTCAGGGAGAACGGTATTGTAACGGCACGGAGGCGAGTCCACGGGATCCTCCTGGCGGTTTCAGCTGGTCGCTTCTTGCCACCAGAGCTAAGATCAGCAACCGCAGACCCACCTTGGCTAAAACAAGCTTTGAGAGACACCGCCGTCTCTGGCTCTCCATCTTTTTCCCCGTCTTCTGCAAAGCCTGGTGGATCCATGATGGCCCTGAGCCTGAAGCGCCGCGTCCCAGGAGGCTCCCCCTCTCTCTAGGCCCCTGCTGGTTTCCAGTTGCCCCAGAGGGCCCTCCGACCCACCTCCCCCTGCCCCCTCAAGATCTCCTGAGAGCCCCCTGCAGAAAAGGTCCTGGGGTCTCCAGGGCAGCCTCCACCTCACAATGGGGGCCGCAACATCTTGAATCCCCTCCACCCCCTGGACACACTGGATCTTGGCCCCTTGGTGTTCAGAGCAGGTCAGAATCCTCACAGCAGCCCTGGGCATTGTGGCTCCCTTTGGCTTCCTCTTACACTCCCTTGGGAAGTCGGACGCTCCTCTCCAGCGATAGAAGTATTGGAATTCCCTTGGAAAATTGCTTGGTCTTCAACGTCTCCACTTTGCCTTCTGTAAAATGGCTGTTTTGTGGAAGTACTTAAGATGCTCCCCACTGGCCCCAAAAGGCTGAAGGTTCTCCCCTTCCCCATCATGGAACATTAACTGCAGTCCTGCTAGTAGCTTACAGTGAAAAAGCAGAGATTTGGTAACTTAGGAGTCACCCATCTGGAAGCAGCCTGTTTCAGACACAATTTCTTGCAACTACGTTGGGAAATTTGTGTGTGGGGGGAATTCAGTGCAACAATCATACCGGGTAGCTTTCAATGTCTTTTGAGAAGGAGGTACTCCCATTTTTTCAAAATAATTTTTAAAAAATGCATATAGCGTATATACATACAGATAAATCCAACAGTGCCTAAACCGACACTCAAATTTTAAACCAAAATAGAGCAAAAAATGTGCCACCTGCAGATAAACTGGCCCTTGAAATTTTCATGTTTTAATTTTCACAGTTGGCTTATCTGTGGGTAATCCATGGATTATCAATTTTTCATGGTACGGTACTTTGGTTAAAAATCTGAGGATCAGGTTATCTGTGGATTGGCTCATCCACAAGCACATATGGGATGTACAGGTACTTTAGAAAAATTTTACCGTATCTACTTGTGGATAACCCAAACCCAATTTTGGGGGTGTATCTGGGCACCTAAAATTTTCCACTTATTTGCAAATATATATGGTACCATTTTTTAAAATAAAGTTTTCTCAAGGGGGCTTGCAAGCCATCTAAACTAAAACTAAAAACAGCAGTTTCTGTACTGCGCATGCAACAGTGATTTCTGGGCAGCAAAACTCAATTATCATCTGCTCCACTAGTGCTAGCAGGCTGGCCTAACCGGTGCTGGGGATGTCACAAAATTACGGCGTTTACTAATTTAATATCCATACATTTAATGCTGGACAGGGTGAAGGGAGGAAGAGGCACATGATCTTTTTCCCCTTCCCGAACCTAAAAGACGCTGGCCAGCTTGGACGTACGTAGCCCTTTGATAAGCATGGACAATCGCCACTGAGGAGATAGAACGACGCTGCGTGATTTCCTAAGGAGCGACATTGCCAAACCCTTCTTTCACAAGGCAGAGGGAAAAGCCCCCTACCCAGAGCCAGCAGGTGTGAAGAGGCAGGAAGAGGGGCTCTGATCCTGCAGCCACCCTGGAAGTCGTCTTCACATGTGGCTTTCAAAGCAGAAAGTTCTCTCACCCAGGAGCCCCTAACCTATATTTCATCACTGAAAGAATGATTAGTTGGCAGTCTCCCAAGAAATAGAGTGATTGTTTATTTTAATATTATATACAAAAATGTTTTTGGGATTCCTTACACCTCCTGAAGAGTTTCCCTCTCATCATCCACCAGTTCAGAAATACAATTTCAGAGGCAAAACTGAGCTGGAGTGCTTGGAAGAATGGGCAGAAGAGAGGCTGGCTGCCAAGCGAGGGATCATGGAGACTCCAGGGCAAACTGGACGACGACGGAGGAGTTTGTCACCCGGGCACCGTAGTGTCCTTTCCAGTACTGTGTGTCGATCCCTTTGTGTCTAAAGCATATGTAGCGAACTCCAGGGCCGTATCGTCTAAATGTGTGGGTTACCTGGGGAGATGGAGAAACAAAGCAAGATAGGCTAAGCCGCCTTTTGGACTCAGGAAAATGGTTTTAAGGAGCAGAAGCTGCTTCATTGTGACTTGTTGCCATCGTTTAGAAGTGTAAGGTTCCTCAACCTCAGCAACTTTAAGATGGGTGGACTTCAACTCCCAGAATTCCCCAGATGGCCCAGATCACCCATCTTAAAGTTGCTGAGGTTGAGGAACCCTGTTTTACGTGATCTCACCCAACTACTTGTACTTTGGGTGCTGCCTTTTTGAAAACGAGGGTGCTGTGTGAACTTGTTACAAAATCTCCTGAAAGCACCATTTCTCCCCATCCGAGAACAGTGTGTTTCTGATGCTGCTTTAAGATAGCGCAACGCCGTGTTGCTCAACCTTGGCAACGTTAAGATGTGCGGACTTCGACTCCCGGAATTTCCCAGCCAGCATTACTATTTTTTAAAAAAAACCTATTTGTGCAAACCTAAGATACAAAATCTATATTCTGCTTTCTTGGCTCTTTTAAGGCAATTTAATTCCCTGCTGATGTCACCTCCCTAACTGAAGGAAGGAAGGTATGAATCATCCCAAGCGTTGTGAAACTTGGCAGCCAAGGTGGGCAGCCAAGGTGGTGAGCCTTGAAGTGGGCATGGCCAACAGCACCTGTTGGTATGAGGCGTCATTCCACTGAGGGATGGGATCTGGCTGGGCTTTGAAAAGCGCAATTTCAGTTCTCTTATCAGCTGCCAGGAGGGCCACAGAGAGTTCGTAGCGACAGCCGCAGTCCTCACGACCACCCCACCTGCAAGAATCAAGGAAACGTTGCCGTAAAGCGTAAGTGACAAGATGGCTGCTGAAAAAGTCTCTTTCCTGGAAGAACCGGAAGAAGCTTTGAAAGCCGCCTGTCGGTGTTGAATGTCCGCCAAAGTGACTAGCCCCGAGGCCTTGCACGGTCCATCTGACTACACAGATTGATTTTCTTACCGTGCTCTGAAACGGACAAGACGAACCGGGTGGGAGTCACCAAAGGAACAAGGAGAACGCTGCTTTCTAATCTCTGCTTTTTATGCAAAAAGGAGCCAAGAGAGAATAAAACTCACCAGTCAGAGACAAAAACATCAGGTTGGTAAACGTCCAGGAGATCCTGCCAGAAACCCTCCTTCAGCAAATCGATCGTCTGGTACTTCTGGCACCACCTTT